TCATCATCGTATCATTATAATTATTTATGATATCATTATCATCGCATTATCATCGTTATTAATGATATGATATCATCATCATCGTCATCATCATCATTGTCGTCGTCGTCATCGTCGTTACGTATGATCATCGTCATCGTGATTGTTGTAAGGGCGTCAGAAGAAATGCAAAAAACGAAATGAAAAGTGAAGTGCAATGGAGTGCAGTGGAGTGCAGTGGAATTTACCGTTTGCATCACAGGAGGCATGGAGTGAAAAATAAATTAAAGGTAAAATTTATAATCATATGTTATATCATTCCAAAATTTATACTATTTTAATAAATTCAAAATACTTGAAAAAAATTATAGAAAAAAATTCACAAACGAATGAACAATGAACAGATCCAGAAAAATAATTGTTACTAAGACACAACTATTTATTCATGTATCTATTTATTCATTTATTTATTGTTTAACTGCATTTATTAGCCAATCAATTAATCAACAAACATAACATAAAATGAAGAAAATTATAGTGGCTCAAAGGCTAATCATCTATTTAGAGCCATTTCAGTTGGAATCCCAATTTGGCCAATCAATCAATCGATCGATCGATCGATCGATCGATCGATCCATCCATCAATCAATCAATCAATCAATCAATCAATCAATCAATCAATCAATCAATCAATCAATCAATCAATCAATCAATCAATCAATCAATCAATCAATCAATCAATCAATCAATCAATCAACCAATCAATCAATCAATCAATCAATCAATCAATCGATCAATCAACCAATCAATCAGCCAATCAATCATTCAATCAATAAATCAATCGAGTCATCGATACCTATCGATACCTATATATCTTACAGACATGTAATTAATTAACGTATGAAATAAATTATCCAAATTATGCAACAGCAAAAATGCACAGACCTCTTCATACTTGCCCTGGTTCTGACAGAGGAGGGCCAGGTTGTTCAGCTGTTTGGCTACATCAGGGTGATCCCTACCCAGCAGCTTATTGTAAAAATATTTAAACGATAAGAAAGTACCAACAATTAAAACATTGATCTGTTTTTACAACTCCGTCTTTACTATTTCCAAGATACACAAACAACTAATACAGCGTGTAAATGAGAACCTACGTACATTACGCCATGCAAAGTTACGGAAAATATATTTCTGACCGACTACAAATTGCAGTTCATATTTATTGCTAACAATTAGCAAATATTCTCACATATGCAATTGAAGACACATGGCAACATGTAGACAGCATTACATATGACGCCTATACTTACAATATGACAAAATGTGATGCAATTATTGAAAGAATAACTAAAGAAACTATTAAATAGTTAACAATAACAATAAATAAAAATGTATTACAAATAAATATGCTAACGAAAAATAGTGGAAACGCATGTGGGAACATAAAGAAACACATACACAATTTCAAACTAACTGCAGGTAGGTCCATATATAAACGGAGACACACATAAAAACATAGACATACAGACAGACAGAGAAAAAGACGGACAAACGGACAAACAGACACAGACGGACAGACAGGTAAAAAGACAGACTGACAAACCTTCTCTCTGATGAGTAGTGCCCTCTTGCAGAGTGCCTCTGCCTCTTTGTACCTACTCCTCTTGCCATACAAGACTGCCAGGTTGTTCAAGGTTGCTGCCACCTAGGTGTCATGTCGTGTAACAATGCATTTAGAGAGGCAATTCAATGTAACAAAATGTAATAAATGATGAAATTAACTCGGTAGAGTAATGAGGTAGCACAACGCAACAGGAATCCAAAGTAACAACAACGAAAACAACATAACAAGAACTCATCACAATAGAACAGAATAGCAACACAGCACAGCACAGCATGAAACTGACAGCTTGATGGTCAGAGCCCAGTGTTTTTTCTCTAATGTCCAATGCATCAATTAGCAAGTCTGTCGCTTCTTTTATCTTACCTTGGTCCCTTTGTTGGACGTACAGTTAGGTTATAAGATAAGAAAGAGTCCTGATAGGACTTGAAACAAACCAAGTAAAAAAAACCTGTAAACGCAGGCAAGTATGTTGAGCATGGTGGCAACATCTGGATGTTCGTGGCCACTTACCTCTCAAGGTCATCAATGGTTTGTTTACATAGCGGGACGGCTACCTCATATCGACCTGGTTTTTGTTGGGGTGTTATGTTGTAATTTAAATAATTTAATCATTAATTTATTTATTTATAACTAACCAATTAACCAATCAACCAACCAACGAACCGACTAGCCAGCAGTTCGCTGCCCAGCTAGTTAGCAAGCCAGCTGACTAATCATCCAACAGCAACACAATCAACAAAATCAATCAACCAACTAACCGCTGGATGCATATTGAATGACAAGATTGATGAGTGTTTTCAGTCTATCAGGTCCTGATGGCTGGGACGGGGACACCACTGTGTGTGTGTGTGTGTGTGTGTGTTTGTTTGTGTGTGGTGTGTGTGTTACGTTTGTTGTGTGTTATGTTCATTTTGAATCATTTAACGAAAATTCCCACATAATTCAAATGTCAAAGCATAAGCTATGTAACTGACACGTGTCAGTGATTGGATAAATTAATGTCTGAATGAACTCAATCAACATAGTCAACATCAAAATGTTACTCACTACTATCCTATGTTAAGTTAAAAATACAATAAAAAAAATTTTTACAAAAAATTAAAAAAACTTTTGAAATATTAACACTGTGCAAACAAATAAACCACCAACAGACAAAAATAAAACAAAACTGAATGCGAAACATAAAAAAAAACAAAAGAACAAAAATACAATTAAAACATTTACAAACAAGATGTCTGTTCATTCACTCACATTGACAACGATGTCATAACAATAATAATAACGATGATTAACAACAGAAGAATGAACTTACACATCCCTTTTTGAGCGCAGTGGGGGTATATTGTACATTTTGTGTAAAATTTTGTATAATATTTTGTATAACGTTTGTATCAAATTTTGTTTAACATTTTATAACAATTTGTTTTTCGTTTCATACAACGCTTTGTATAACATTATGTATAACGCTTTGTATAACATCATGTATAACGCTTTGTATAACATTATGTATAACGCTTTGTATAACATTTTGTATAACGCTTTGTATAACATTTTTTATAACGCTTTGTATAACTATTTGTATGAAATTTAAAAAGACATTACTATAAACTATAAATTTTTTATAACTAACCAAAAAATTTTATTTTAAATGTTAATGAGAAAAAAACACAATGAGTGACGAAGTGTAATGACTAATGCATGATCTGAAATTTGAAGGTGCTGAATGAAAAAAAAGTGTCTTGTATTTAAAAACATTAACACAGATAAAATGACATTGGCTCGGCTCCATTTGTTAGCCAAATAACTCAATGCTCAATGTCTGTTAGGAAGTGAGAAGAATGGAATAAAGAGAGAAAGAGAGAGAGAAAGAGAGAGAGAAAGAGAAAGGAGAGGAAGAGAGAAAAAGGGAGAGGGGAGAGGGAGAGAGAAAGATGGTAATGGATGATGGTTTTAAAAATTTAATAACAAATGTAATATATGTATAGTATACCAATGAGTAATGATGAATAATGCCAACAATTTATCTAGTTGAAAACAATGATGATAACAATATAAAATGTATGCATATGGAGACATATACACACAAGTTCACACCCACATACACACACACGCGCACGCACACACACACACACACTTACCTTCTTGATGGTTGTGATGCTCCTCATCATTTTCAGAAAAACCAAGGTCAAGATTAGATGAGCTTTTGTCTTTTTCTGATGAGTCTGTAGATGTCTGTTTGTTTAAAAAGTCTGTTTGCTTAAGATGTCTGTGCGTTTAAGATGTCTGTGTGTTTGAGATGTCTGTGTGTTTAAGATGTCTGTGCATTTAAAATGTCTGTGTGTTTATTAGAAGAAAGGTATAACGTTTTGTTGTTAGGTTAATATGCAAATACTCTTGACTCAGTAACAGAGTACTACAACCTTGGACCACCTTCACATGCATAAACAAGTTCTACACGTTCATTTTATTCTTTATTACCTAGCTCTGACATGCACATAACTGCTTACATATCAATCTGTACTTAATTAAAATTTTGTGCCACAAAGGCTTTATTGGAGCATGTACAAGTAGAAAAATGCACACACATAAATACATCACACACACACACACACACACATGCACACACACACACGCACGCACGCACACACACAAACAAACATCACATACATACAAAGACAGATGCACACTCAGAGGGCTTACTTGCAGGTCAGCATCAAACTTTTTGACTTCCACAAGGAACTTTAGATGTGCCTTCTCTTCCTCCAGTGCAGCACATCTCTCCTGGCACGTTTGCCACCTCTGTTGAAATTCTGTAAGCTCCTCTCGCAGCCAGGCATTCTCATCGTTCAGACGTTGGACTTGTGAACGCAGTTTTTGTTTTTGTGATTCAACGTAGTGTAGATGGTTTGACAGAGCAATTATTACCTGGTTTATGTAATGAAATAATTATTTTAAACACTATAAATGAATGGCACATATTCATGGTGGAAATATGTATAAGAATTTATCTAATAACTACATATCAAAAATAATATAGTTTTCTTGCTAAACTATAAAAAGGATTTAGCAGGAGATGAAATATGTAGCTAAGTAGGGATATTTTAAAATGTAATTTTATGGTACGTAAATGAATTAGCATTGAAATAGTTAAGAGGTGACTGACCCTTGCTTCTCCAAGAGCCAGATCAATATTTTCATTGGATTTGTTAATGAGGAATATTTTTTCTTGGACCAATCCATTTATTTGACCAAGTGATAATGATTCATTGAGACCCGAAAGTATTTGAGCATGTTCAGCCTGCAAGCTCTCCAGACCTTGCGCCACAGCTCGAATCTGCTTTAGAACTTCCTCCTGGTTCGGTGTGGGAGAGACTAGTGTTGTCATTTGCCTGCTAAATTTTAAATGACATTCTAATTTCAATATTTAGTTTTTAGTGTGTAGGTGAATTTCATGAAAACAATTTATTTTTTATTTTGTTCAGTTGTTTGTTAGTCAAAGTTCTTATGCTTGTTAGTTAAGGACTTAAAGGTTTATTGTTAGTTTTTTATTTTTTCATTAGAACTTCTTCCTTCACACAAAAAGAATTAAACTACACTTCATTTTTTTCAAGTTTTATTATTCAGCAGCTGAATCTAACTTAGCCAACTACTAGACTAAACTAGTGTGCTGTTTGTATTTTTTTAATTTTAAGTCTAAAAATTTTTTTTTAATTAAAATAAAATAAAATTTATATATCTATGAAACACTAATGAAAGCAAACTAGAAAACATTTTTTACCTAACGTTATACCAATTTTTTATTGAATTTAATTATAATTAAATTCAACATTAAACTTCGACATTAAATCGGGAAGAAAAGGACTTGCAAAAATCTTCTGAATTGAAAAAATCGAGATTGATGTTAACATAACTTTTAGTCTGGATAAACTAATGGCCAAATAAAAATTTATTTACAGCGCTTCAATATTTACATAGATTGTCAACTTTTTGACAGTTACTGTTATAATAAATGTTTATTTGTGAAATATCAAATGGAAAATTTAGATATTAAAGTGTCTTGTTTCATGTGAACTTCAAGTGCAATTATACTGGCTGTGTTTCTTATGTATACAAGTCTCTAATTTTGCCACAATTACAGCCATTTTAGGAGTAGTTACCTAGTTACTAAAATTTTTTTTTAGAAATTTTATTTACAGTTGTTTATTTAGAGCTATGCTAGATTTCTTGTGAACTTTTATTACTTTTGAAATTGTAGATAAAAATACAGCCCCACTAAACTATAACACACTATAAACATTTTCCTTTTTGGTAAACCTCTAATTTTGAAGTATAAAGTAAATTATATTAAAAATGCAATATTCTACCTAATAAACCTATTAAATGTTACCTCATAAACCTACCATTGTGGGGCTTGTTTGATGACTTTTATCTGAAAAGGCTCCAATAACTGAAGATTATGATATTATTTCACTCGACTATTAATTTTTCGTTTTATACTCTGCTATATTGACAAGTAGGTAGTTAATTAGAAGATTCTGTATGAAGAATCTTCGCTGATCGCTGAACGGAAGTTAGATTTTGCTTACTTTAAAATTATGGATGAACATTTTTTTCTATAAATTTTTCATAGAGTTTTTCACGTAGTGTACATTGTTCTCCTGTCTGATGGAACTGTTGCTTCCCTCACTTACTTATTTTAATTTAATTCCCGTAATAAGTCTAAGAACCAAACTTGATTTTACAATTTTTATAAACATGTTAAGCAAGAATTTTGAAACACAATTATTATTTATTATTAAACGTAATTTAAATACAATTTTCATAGTAATTTGAATTTCTTTAATTGTGAGAATGAAAATGAATGAGATGATTGGATGGATGGAATGAAGAGGATCGTCTGGATGGTCGAAAAAAGCGCTTGCTTGGATGAATGAACGGATGGTGAAAGAAAAGAATACAGAAAGAATACAAAAGTAATCTCATAAAATAAGTGGGCCTCTGTGCTAACGTAAAAGAACAAACAACAAAACAGATGCACAGTCCGGCAAACACAACAACAAAACCGGCACCACAAACCTCTGAAACAAACGGTCATAAGAATAAAAAAGACACCAAACAAGCTTTTAAGCAACTAAGCAATGACCCACATATGAGAATACAAAAATAAAAATGTAGGTATACATCAGAGAACAATCAAACAATTGCACACAAACAAACGAATAAACAACTAAAAAAATCACAAACATACTAACACACACACAAACAAACACAATCACACGCACACACATAAAACAATTACACACGTAATAAAAAAAAACAGAGATACAATCTTGCATCGCCACCATCATCATTCATCAGTGGCAGTGAGATGTGTGCTGTTTATTCGTGAGCGCAAGAGCAATACGTAAAAGAAGTATGCGTAAAATCTTACATATATGCATACATACACGCACACACACACGCACGCACACACGCACGCACGCACACACACACACACACACAGAGTTACCCGAGCATATGTTAAGTGATTGATGTTTGACCGTTGTTCTCTGAGCGTATATGTGTTTATGTGTTGATGTATATGCGTGTTAAGTGTGAGGTTGGTGAGAATGTTTGTGATGATGGTGGTGACACCGATATATTGGTGAAGACGTTCAACTGGTGATCATGGTGATATAAAATGCATGAGTTAGTAGTGTGGAGCAAACACAATGGATGATGTTAACGATGTACTACTAATGGAAAGCATTTAGTTGGTGATGGTGCGTGTGTCGTGTAATGATGACAATGGCCTGAGTTTGAAGAAGAAGATGAAGGTAATAATTTGTATGTGATAATTGTGATGATGTTTTGATGATAATGCGTATGTACGTGTGTATGTGTGTGTGTGTGTGTTAGTGTATGTGTGTGTGTGTGTGTGATGCGTGTGTGTATGTGTTGTTAGGGCATAGGTTGATGATGTGTTTATGTTGGGCTTAAAAAATTACAGCAAGTGTCGCAGACAAATTTATTATTCATTGAATACTTTTGCGCGAGAGATGTTTTTTGAAAATTCAGGTTGGAAGTTTGGGCTTACCTTTTCATTATTTGAAAACATCAACAACATTTACAACATCAACAACCTCAACAACATCAGCAACATCAACAACATCAGCAACATCAACAACATCAACAACATCAGCAACATCAACAACATCAACAACATCAATAACATCAACAACAACATCATTAACATCAACAACACTAACAACATCAACAATATCAACAACAATATCAACAACAATGTCAACAACATTAACAGATACAAGAATCAACAACCTCATTATTAACTGTCCAGATTGTATCAATAAAAATTTGCATCATTAAAACCAGCCATAAAACCAACAAATAACACCCAAACGTTATCAAATGAAGTCAAAAATTATAATTTTGAGCAAAAAACACTGTAAACAACTATGACAACAAAAATAACAACAACAACAACAAATTAATTAGCAACAATAACGGTAATAAAAACATAATCGCAACATTGACAAGAAAACCTCAAAACAACAACATCAACAACAACATCATCAATCTCAACAACAACAGCAACAGCAGCAACAACAACATCGCTAGCATCAACACCAACAAAATATTTACTACATCAACCATAGCATCAGCAGCATCAACTTCTGTAGAATAAACCAACATAAAATTCTCATCTCGTAAAACAAAGCAGCCCAAGCGAGTATTCAACATCAAAATAAAACAACGTTTTAATGTCATTTTTTTGCGGGCAATTCATCATCTTTCCGAAGGGAAAAGACCTACAAATTAATTAAGAAGAGTACACAGACATGTTTACAAACATGGAACGGCAAATGTAAATAAAGTATTAACTTTTTCAAACTTTCTCACAAACATTCACACATACGACATACGTCACATATACCCACACATACATCTAAACTGACACCCAAACACACATATACCTACACATACATCCAAACTGACACCCAAACACACACAGACACACACACACAAACAGACACACACACACAAAGGCAAAAATATTGAAAAACTCGACTGACAACGATATTTTGTTAAAACTGAAATCCTCATCAAGTGCTTAAGCATCGGTTTGCACGTAAAACGTAAATTTACAGTAGTTGTGTGAATGTATTTAAACCTTTGGTTCATATTTTTGGAAAACAAATCAATATAGGAGGTTCAATAAATGGTATCGGTGCAGTTCAACAAATATGTCACAACATTTGTCAAATGTTATCCTCAAACGAGCCATGGGCAGCTAGCTCCGTGCAATCAGCAGGTAGATGATTTCATCATGATCAAAGTTTGACACTCTAAATAATTGACGATGTGTTTTCTCGGTAAGTTAGTTTCAGTTATTTTTTGAAAATAATGTAAATTATTTTTCAAAAATTCTACAAATCATATAAAATAGTCTAAAGCAATTATAAAACGTAATGTTATGTTAGACTGTTACACACATAACACAAGCACAAACACACACACACATCACACGTATACCACACACACACACACACACACACACACACACCACACGTACACCACACACACACACACACACACACACATTTAAACATATTACACGTTTACACATTTGAACAACTCTGATGATCCACATATCACATATAAACTAATCTACACTGACACATACACATACATTCCACCCCTACACACATGTGTGTAAGGGTGGAATGTGTACATTTTACGTACATTTTATAGTTAAATACTTTTACTTGAATTATTCACGTGTGGATAATTGGTCTGGAAGTACACATACAGGCATCACACGCCCTCCCATAAATAAACTTTCATTACTCCCTCCTATAACCATTGATGTGTGTCAGTTCTTCTTTGTTCGCCTGCTTCTACGTGTCTCTACCTCTCTATCTATATTAGTTTTTTCGTATTAAAATTAAAAAACAGCATGTTTTTTCATGCTGTTGAATATGATTTAACTTTTAAAACTTCATTCAGGTTTTGATTAAATATTTATTCACACAAGAGTTTTCAAACCATCTACAAACAACTAATAAATTTGTGAAACCATATTTTCAGGCTGATGGCATTTTGTAATGAAACCATCTTCACTGAGCATGTATTTACAGCTGAAAAGATAGCTGGATGTCTGGCGCGCAAACTTGGTGATCGAGTGTTTGTGCTTAGAAACGCAAATGCTGCTCCGATTAGATCTTTTTTTCCATGTAACATTCGTGTAAATATAAAATCAAACACGAGAAGATGCAAATGTACATACAACATACCGTGTACGTGCATGTATAGGCAGGCTGATGAGCTTGTAGTTCACTCGTTCCCGGTACTGTTATTTTCCTGCTAATTGACACGTAATGCTGAAGAGAGTGGAAGAAATTTAATTTGCAAAGAGAGGACAATGATGGATGACCGTTGTTGCAGTTATGTATTCTGTGTTTACTTTTTGTTTTGTTTCTATGCTTGTCGAAGTGTGCCGTCATCTTGTTTGGAATGTTTTCCATGTTTACTTCACTTGATTCAATTGTAAGTGCTATACTTTCAAGTTGCATGAAATTTAGTTTTGCTGTACTTTCGTAATATTTAGTTTTTCTTTCTTTAAATTTGAACAACGTTTGGCAACGTTAATAACGTTTTAAGAAATTGGCGGATTTCATTTGCTTGTATCCGAGTCTTCAAACTGAATGCATTCATGCATACAAACATGATCGTTTTTCTCATTGTGTTTTGATGGTTAATATGACTTCAGCTAATTGAAACAATTTTTATTTATTCATTCTTTACGCAAATTGTGTACAGATGTTCTGAAGATTGTTTGTGGAGCATTATGAGATGTCTTTTCAGATTGCGACTGGCTGTTGTCAAATGCGATGTTTCTTTTACACTGGATTGTTTTTGTTTCATTAGGAATATTTTGTTGTCTTCTAATATATTGATAGTTGGTTAAAGATTTCTCAGGTGTGTGAGAGGTTAAATTATAAATATTTTTATAAGCGTTACAATAATTCAAACATGTTTTGCATTCATAAAATTTTTCAATTGAAAAACTGAAAACTACAAATGTTGTCTACCAGATTCTGTCAGTTATTTTTAAAGTTTTCTCAAATCAATTTTTGCCGTGTCGATCTAGGACACAAGAAGCGCTGAATTGACTTCAAACTGTCACATTATTAGTTAGTTATTTTGAAAAATGAAAAAAATAGTTAAAATGACATTAACTAATTGAAACAATTTTTATTCTCATTATTCTCATTAAAAATATTCTGGTGTCTCGTTTTAAATGTTGGGATGGCGTTATATGATATAACGTTTACTTCTTAAATCTTCTACCATACTGCTTTGTAAATTTTTTCAATCTTAACTTAAAGTTTTTTCACCATTATGAAATTTTATTGTCTGAGAGATATTTAACAAAATTTCGAGATAACTTTTGCTTTTTTTCAAAAACATTGAAGAGACCAAATGCAGCGGTTTTGCATTTCCTCTAGGTCGACAGGGACAAAGTGACGCCCCTCTGAGTCGGGCCCCATAAATCGCCCTCTCCCGTTAAACACTTCAACTTAATTTGTAAGATTTTGAATGTCTCCACCAAGCCCATTTGTCAAACGTTGCTCTTTCGATCGATGATCATTTTTATGACAGATGCCTGATGTATGCTTGAACTCTAATTTAATTTTTAACGTTCGTCTGTGTTGCTGTAATTTTTTTCTCCGGACGTAAACAGAATTAGTTTTTTTTACAATAATTTTCAATTGGTTCTGCTAAATAAATATTCATCAAAGAATAAAAAAAATGAAACCACTCTCAAGCAAGCGTCAATAGAGTAGTATCAGTTTGCAGGAAGAGGCCTTTTTTTATTCATGTTCTTCGCATGTGACACAATTATAAATTCATACAATTCATCTGAATTATGCATACAATTATTCATGCACAATTGATGCATACTCATACAAAAGTAGTATACACATACACACCCACACACACACACACACACACACACACACACACACACACACACACACACACACACACACACACACACACACACACACACATATATATATATATATATATATATGTATATATATATTATATACATATACTGAATTATACATATGCAATGCATATGCTTGTACGTGTAATAAAACGTATGAAAGTATAGGCTACTCAAAAATATACATGTAAAAATGGATTGATGTACACACATATGTGTATGCATGCATACAGACAAATACGTACCGTTGTACATCTATGTATCTATCTAGGCGAACACGTGTTTGTTCGTTCGTTCGTTCGTATATTTTTAAGGAGATGTTAGTTGAGAATTTCTGAAACAAGGCAAAAAACTAAGAAGGCTGAGTAGTTTTTTTTAATTTAAAATTAAAAAAAATAATTTAGCATGCGTGGGCACACATGTCACTTGAAATTTATATTCAACATTCGTAGGCTCACACATTCGCGGATATAAAATTTACAATAATATTTTAATCAAATACGCTAAAAAATACATGGGCATTCATTAATAATATATCTTAGGGATCTTTGTGCATAATGCTAAAAATATAGCCTATATATATTTATATATACATACATATATATGCAAAATATATATATAGAGAGAGAGATAGAGAGAGAGAGAGGGAGAGAGAGAGAGAGAGACTATATATATATACATATATACATTTTTATGTTCAATGGCTTAATTTTATTTTATGATATCATCTTAACAAACTTTAAGGAAGCAAGATAGGTGGGTATTAGGTTTTCATTGTTTGGGAGCGTGCAATTAATATCCATTTTTTTGTCTCTGTCCTGCTGTGTGTTTCGATCCAAAATTAAAATTAATTTTTATACTGGATAATTACACTCAAACAGTGTTGGTGTTGAAAAAAAGGTTGGGTTATACATGCAAATTATATAAAAAGATAATTAAATGAATTAAAAGAACAAACGATTGATTAACTAAATAGATAAGTTAAAAAGTATTCAACTAAATAAATAAGTTATAAAACACACAGATACGTGTTATATTAAATAAATGTTTGTTTGAATTAAATTTGAATATTATATACCTATATATTATTCGTTTAGATGGTTAGATGTGTAAATTTATTGGAACATGCGCAAACCTCTCCAAGTTAATGAATTAATAGTTGATTTTTAATTTTTTTCTGAAAAATTAATTAAAATTTCTATCTTGAAAAAATATTTTTATTGATATTTAGTTTTATAAACGTAGGCATAAAACGTGCTCTTAACTGTTACCGAGGTTTCGTCTAAATAGTTTGACGAAAATCGTTTGTTTTGTCGGATTGTTAAATCTTTTAAAGAATAAATTAAATTATAAAAATATATATTAGAAGCAAATAAAGCAAGCGAACGGATATAAAATCAACTAAAATATAAAGAACCATTCTGAACAAATTGTTCTATACGATTAGATGTTCGGTTGACGAATTACAATTACAATCAACAGAGATTTGTCTACACAAAAACTATCGTTGAAAAAATTATTCATCCAAAAATTTTTTTGCAAACCGATTGATTAACAGTTCTTGGCTACAAAAATTTAATAATAAAATCTTCAAAAACCTTGTTAAAAATTTGGATTCTATACCAAAATACCAAAAAAGCAATCACAATAAAATTGGTGACTGTTGTGGCGTGATTAGTTGGAATGTAGCATCTTTAACTCAAGTCCTCGGAGCAATGTAATTGGAAATTAAAACTACAACAACAACACCAACAACTCGTACCAACGACAAACTTCAACGACAAAATAACCAGCAACAGCTTATTTAGTGACGAAAACCAACAACCAACCCACATGAAATCATTCACTTCACATTCTGATTTAATGTTGTTTCTACAGCAGCAGCAACAACAACAACAGCATCAGCAGCCAAGTTATACGCCACATTTTCGCCAGCAACAATCAAGATCCTTTCATTCTGTGTCTCCAGCTGCTTGTTCCAGCGACCAGCCACCCCAACGCCAACCTGCATCTTTCACATCTCCATTCACCTCCATCTCATTACCATCACTTCCAAACAACGTCAAAACCAGCCAAACAACACCGCAACAATTATCTCAATCGTCATCGTCATCACCGTCACGACCTCTGACCTGTTACGTCATCACCATATTATCCGGACTGTCGTTCGTCTGCCTGTTTGTGGCTCTGGTCAGCGACAACTGGCTTCACACGCAGGAGAGGGTCTCCAAGTCCAATGGCACGGCCACTTACACGGTGACCAAGAGTGGGCTCTGGACCAAGTGCTCGTACGAGAGTTAGTTCACGCCGGACCATCCATATTTTATTCTTTTATATCCATTTGTTTTAATATATATTAATTTTTATATACAAATATGATTGTAATAAATGATTAAATGAATGATAAATGATAATTGATTGAAAACAATGCAAGATGCATACTGAACCGACATCAAATGCACACTAATGCACGATGCATTAACGCATTTCAAGATTAAAGGCAGTACGCTACTTTTGCAGCACGTTTGCGAAAAACATACAAGACACATCGCAGTTTTGAATATCACAAGATGATAAAACTTGCACTCTCAAATTTTTAAACCGTAACGCCCAACAGTGAATGACACAGCAGTGACATTGACAAACACCGTTATGAAAGGCCTTGAACCTCAGTGAACAAACGAAACAGACGGACAATTGAACAAACTCGACACACAGACATGAATACACCTACATTACACATACAAGAACACAGACACACGTGAAGATATAAACGCATATTCAAAATTATTAAAAGAACGATGTCTGCCAAACGCATTTCATTTAAATATGCATGCCTTTGCGGATTTATTATTCACAATATGGACGACATGTCATGCGCGTTGGGAGATGTTTTTTGTCCTTACCATCAAGTCCGACATGTTTGTTTGCTTGGTTGCTTCTATGTATGTGTTCGTGTGTGTGTGTTTATATGTGTGCGTGTAAGCGTGTGTATGTGCGTGTATGTGTGTGTGTGTGTGTGTGTGAATTTTCGCAAATGTTTGTGTTTGTGGGATGAACTATTGCCTATTTTAACTGATTGAGTGACGTTGCGATAGACGAAACCGTATGCTAACGGTCTGTTTACCTAAACGTCCTCTTCCAAGAATAACTTTAAATAATTTAATCGGTTCAATAGGATGTTGTGATTCTTCATTTTCCGAAAATACACAGTAATATTCATAGTAGATCATTGATTTGTTCAAGTGTAATTAAATCAGCATACAATTTGCATAGTACAAAAAAACTCTTAAGTAATCTATTTTTAAAATAATTAAAAAATTCATTACTCCAGACATTTGTTTGTTAAACTGTTTGTTAAACAAATCTAGAAAATGTTTCATTTTGTGTAGTAACATCAAATAGAGAAAAATATTGTCGCAACTATTTGCAATACAAATACGACGGAGCAACATAGGAATGAAAAAGACATCAACAAGGAGACCAAACAACAACAACACATCAACAAAAACACAACAACAACACAACAACATCAACACAACAACAACAACACAGCAACAACAGCACAACTACAACAGTTACGACATTAGCCTGCATAAAAAACAGTAATATAATTTAGAAATTAAATGACACCAAAAATGGATTATAACAAGTCTCATGTGCAATTAGACTACTAAAAATACGCCCCTTCTCCTTCTCAAGGCATTGACCCCACTTAGGTAAAATTTTCCATCCAGCTGAGACGCGTTTCTTATGCCGTAACATGCGGCCGAAACTTAACGCATCACCTGTTTTATTTCCGGGTCGTTCGATTTTGCCCTGGTCATTCGTCCCTCCAGCTGACCATCTGTTCATTCATATTTGTTTTAGTCGTTCATTGATTGATTGATTGACTGATTGATTTATTGGTAGATTAATTAGTTGTTTGATTGGTTGATTCATTTATTTAATTTTGCATTCTTTTGTTTATTGATGTCTATTCAATCATTCATCTACTCATTTTTGATCTAACCATCCATCCATCCATCCATCCATCCATCCATTCATTCATTCATTCATTCATTCATTCATTCATTCATTCATTTTTGTTTTGTTCATTTAACTATCCATCCGTCCGTTCTTTGATTTGTGGTATCATTTATCACAAAAGTGACACTGCTGTGATTCATCTATTCAATTCATTCTGCTCGCTTACCTACTTGCCAGCCTGCCTGACTGCCTGACCACCAGTTGGTCACTTTATTTTATTTGGTCATAAAGTCATTTCATTTATTAAATCACATATTCGTTTTTATGACAGTTCACTTGCCGATTCATAAACTGAATAATTAAACTTTTCTATTATTATTATTATTTTGTCAAAAATGTCAAATAAAAAAATTATTTTATTTAACCCCAATAAACTTCATCAAGAAGTTAAAAGTCTCGTAAGAAAAAATGAGAAACTCAACTCAAAGTTGAATAATGCCGAAAACGCAGTGATCTTTATAAATAATTGTATTTACGATAGTCTAAACCCAAAATATTGCATATATATATATATATATATATATATATATATACACACTCACATACTCAAACACATACACCCTCCCACAATGCTTAAACACTCACATGTACGTGAACACACACACAGATACACACACACACATACATACCCACACACATACACACACAGATAGATCCACGCAGATACACACACATAAACAGACGCAAGTACAACGACCTATAAAATGAAAGTGCCGCTAATACAAGATATTGTACGCAACATAAACGCATGCTGTTTGCTCCGTTACGCACAGATTACATCCTCACAGAAGCCCTTTGAAGAGAATTATTAATAAAGATATTAATATTTTTAATAATAATAATAATTATTATATATAATAATGGTAAAAAAATAATACAAATAATAATAATAAAATGTAAGGATGTATAAAGTAAAAAAACAATCATACGGACATACAATAAAAAACTGGAGCATTCACTTGAAATGATGCCACTTGAAAAATATGCCCGTCTAAAAAATAGAGCCCGGAACAACATTAGCATGTGCTGGCGGGCAATCGGTTGGCACAGCTAATGCTAGTGCTTCACTATTACAATCGTTCGGTACGTATCATCCAGTACACATACACATACTTTCTCTCTGTCTCTCTCTCTCTCTCTCTCTGTCTCTCTCTCTCTCTCTCTGTCTCTCTCTCTCTGTCTCTCTTTTTCTTCTTTATCTATCTATCTATATATCTCTATTCTGTTTTTTCATCCCCAAAAACACACTTACACACAACTTTGTACGGACATATGAGCCCATAAATATACTGTACATATTTTAAGGTGCAATCAGGCTCTTTAGGAGGTAACAATATAAACGCAAACATACGAACATACAAACACTCACAGAATCATACAATTATACAAATACTTATACAAACAAACACAGATACAAACATACAAAAACAAACAAACACTCACACAAACATACCAAAAATGTTTTTCTGAACTCCTACGCAGTTTCGCTTGCGTCGGATGCTCGGTGTTCAATACGGAAAAGAAAGTGCGCACGATTGTAAGCAAGTGTCTTTGGTTGTCTAAGAGTGCCTGTTTGTGTGCGTTTCCATCTGTGTTTGGAAGTGTGTGTGTGTGTGTGTGTGTGTATTTTTTACATGAAAAATATAAATGTATATGTTTGTGGTGTTTTTTGAAATTTTGTTTGTTTTCATTTGCGGCTAATTTTATTGTCGTGAACAAATGTTGATGCGTTTGTCAATTTGAGTGTTTGCGTGTTTAGTTAGAAGTGATTGTTGATGTTGTTGTTGTAAAGGGTTTTTTAAAATATTTGAAAGTTTCCACTAGTAGAAAAATTATTTGCAGAGAGAACATGACGTTGGTGATAAAATCAAATACCGCAATTGTATTTATGCAATACCTGTGCTCACAGATCCATGCTCAAAAGCTATTATTTGAAAATTGGTTCTCAAGAGAAACCTCGCCCCTGTTACTGTTACATTTGTGGAAGAGCTTTCAAATTTCCGACATTGTTGAAAAGTTGTTCGTCTGCTCAAGGCACACAATCGTAAAAACGGAAAAGAGAAAACTGCGATGAGACCTCTGCCTTGGTAGAAATACTTGATGAATGCATCAAGAAAATTCGAATGAAAAAGGTTTTAAGGAAATTAAAGCTTGAAGTTTGAAAATTTTTAATGTTGCCAAAAAATTCATCAGGGAAGAATATTTCGGTGACAGTGAATTTCAGAAGGAGGGATTATGAGGTGTAAATCGTGAGGACGGAGCCAAGTGGGAATATGGATGGTGGAGAAACTGAGGTGGATGGCCAAGTGGATGTCAGCTGCTATCTTCTGCCAGATGATGGTGTTGATGAATTTGAAACATGCGTCTGATACATTTTCCTCTGCAGTCTTATTGTCAATTTATTTTTCCAAATTAAAATTTTACGATCATGATCTGTATTCAAACTTGGATTAGAATGTTTAAAAGTTGTAGAAACAGGAAGAATTTAAAATGAGCGATCCTTGTGTTTTTCATTTTCATAAACACATTAATTTCAAATCTTAATTATATCATTCTTGCCCTCCCATATAAATGATGAACATTGATGAATACTTTTAACATTAATACATACATTTATTATTTAACATTATATTTCCATTGTATGTTCAATTGTTCATAGGGTTGAAATAAAAGTCGTTACCATTATTATTAATTATTATTATTATTGTTATTATTACTATTATTATAAGTAGTAGTAGTAGCAGTAGCAGTAGTAACAGCCGCAGCAGCAGTAGTTGTAGTAGTAATAGCTCGATGTAAAATGATCGTATTCATGCATCATTTTTGAATATTTTCCCAAATAATTTCAAATTTTTTCTTAAATAATTTGTCGAAAAGACTATAATAGCAATACTAATACTAATAATTATTATAATAATTAATAATAATTAAATAATATAATAATAGTAACAGTAATAGTTAGTGCGGTGACACTAACGAATGGGGAGGCGAAAGGAGATGATGATTATGGCGGTAAGCATTCGCACCATCATTCATTATTCATCACATTGAGTGAGCCACCACCGTTGAAACGCACGTGCAGTTCATCATCATCATTCATTCATCCTTATTCATTTTATCCATCGTTCATTCCTTTGTTCATTCGGTTTTCGATCAATCTTTCATTCATTTATTCGTTCGTTCGTTCGTTCGTTCGTTCATTCATTCATTCACTAATTCATTCATTCATTCATTCACTCACCCACCCACTCACTCACCCACTCACTCACTCACTCACTCACTCACTCACTCATTCACTCATTCATTCATTCAGTCAGTCAGTCATTCGTTTACACATCATCATTCATTTATCATTTGATATTTGCCTGCACAATTGGTTTCTACATAACGGTCATCGTAATAATCATCACTGCATCATGCATTCAATTGATGATAATAATAATGGACGGATGAAATATGAGGCATTTTTTCAAAAACTTTCATTTTGTTATCAGCATCATCATTTATCCCACCATCACTATCTTTATCATCATCATTAGTATCATAATCATCATCGTCTTTGTCATCATAATCATCATCATCTTCGTCATCGTCATCATCACTTCTTCCATCATTGCCATAACAACATCTTCACCAGCCTCAACAAAGTTATCACTGTTCTGTAATTATAATGTGGCTTATCATCCTTACATTCATCGTCCTCACGGCTACTAGATTAATCAAATCTTTTTATTTTATTTTATCATTTCTGGAAAATTAAAAATTAGTCCTAAAGTCAATACTACGGGTTTTTTATTTTTATCGTAAAAAATTTTGAGAAAAAAGTTATTTATTTTATTTGTTTAAACTCTCTCTAAAGCACGCAGATACTATTTCTACTATTTCCTCCACTGATTAGAAACATTTGCAACAGCAAGACCTTTCTTATTACAACTTCTTCTTCCATGTAGCAATTTATTTCCAGGCAATGTGGGATAGGGAAGAAACGTTCATTCCACTATCTCCTTCCCTGTTCAATCCCATGTTGATCCGCGCGCGTTTCCAGCAAACATTCATCAAGAAGGACTATTTTAAAATTAATTCTACACCGTGTGTCTGTGTGTGTGTGTTTGTGCGTGTATGCATGTATGTATGTAGTATTTATGTATAAAGTACGTATCATGTGTAAGTATTACGTATGTATTATGTATGTATTATGTGTGTACACAAAAAATCGTTTACAAGCATAATTACAAATACAAACATTCGTACACACACAAACACACACACTCACACACAGATGCACGAACACACATACACATATACACGCAAATACACACACACGCACACAGAAGACAGCATTTTTGTGAAGAGTGATACCAACCTTTAACTAAGAATTAGTATCATTCTATTCGTTCAGACATTGTCGACAAAATGTTTCGTAGCGAGTTTTTCAACTACAAATTATTTTTTAAAGTATTTATCAATGAATATTGCATATTAAAATGAATGGTCGTAGAACAAGAGGACGATGATGACGATAGGTGATAACGACGATGAATGTAATGATAAAGATGACTAAACAACAACGGCTTACTATCTATCCATCAGGAAACGTGATGTCACATGACTAATTTTTTAACATGAAACTTCATTAAGAAAACGTCTTTCAATGAATTTTTTTAAGAATGAGTGGATAAAAATGATCAGAAGACAGGAATTTTTTTTCGAAATTGAAAAATAAATTTTTTTCAATTTAAAACATTATTCCATATTTTTTTTATTTCGTTCTCAAAATTTTCTTTTGTTGACATGTTATGCGGCTGTCTACGTTGTCAATTGAAAAATTAAAACCGGACTAATTAAAATTCTCTTCATCTTAATCACCATCAGCGTTATCATTTTGTCGTCACATTTTATCACCATAAATCTAATCGGTAACACCATCATCATTGCAAATGCGATCATCCCTGTGATTTTTTCACCCATAACGGTCATCTTCATACAGCCTCAAACGATGGTGATCAAGTTAGTTCATCATTTAATTTTTCTCCTAAAATTCAAACCCTGTCAAATGCAGATGAAGTAACAACATGCAAGGCATAGAGCGATGAAAATTGGAAGCAAAATTATGAGTATAGAACTGATAAGATGCATCTAGTGGGGGGTAAAATAAAATAATGTAGAGAAAATATTGGTGAAGACATGCAGGGAAAGTGAAACTGTTAAGTAAGTTTATATGGTAATATGATGAAATACTATGATGAAATGGAAGTATAAAATGAATACATACGGTAATGAGAACAAAAATAATAATTACTAACAGTATAATAGATTGAAAGTTGAGAGATATAAAATATAATATACTATAAAATTAAAGGAAAAATAATAAAGAAAATATAATTGTTGATAATATATTATACGTCTTTATATATATATATATATATATATATATTAAATATATTAATTTTTATTATATATATTATATTATAAGTCTGCTATCATACTAATTAACATATATTAAGGGTGGGCGAGTGTACTTTCAATTCTTACAGATACGGCATTAAAGGGCCTAGGCATTGTTTTGGCATTTTCATTTTAATCAGTTTGTCATCATTAATATCGTTGCTACCATCGTTATCCTAGTCGTATTCATTATCACCAGCAAAATCATCATCTTCCTCATTTTTGTTGTCATCTTCATCATCATCATCATCATCGCAATCATCATCATCGCCATCACTACCATCATCATGATGATGATGAAACATATTCATCATCATCATTATCGTCATCATTACCATCATAACCACTTATCATCACCATCATCGTCGTCATCATGTTAAACAATGAACAAAGCTCAATAGATCGATATTCAAACAGCCAGCCAGCCAGCTGCCTTCATTTTTTTTTTAAATAATAATAATGTTAATATTAAAATGTAATAATAATATCCATAATAATCACAATGAGGACAACTCCACAAAATATTTATTGATAGTTTATTGAGACAAAGTCGAAAATGCAATTAAGGAGGTTCGTACAATTTTATGGAAGTGTTATATTCAGATAAAACATTGAGGTTAATACAACATTTTTTCATAGTGAAGTTGATAATATTAATTAAATAAGTAAGGAATTGAAATGGGGTAAAGGTAGAAATTGACACTTTTACTTTGCAATTATTTTCACAGGCTTGTAATATTAATTTTCTATTTTCACGATGGCCTTTACAAGACATTCATGTCTCATCTGCTCCCCCTTAATCCACATTTTCATTTTCTTAATTCTATAATTTGCAATTTGTGGATTTTGAAAAAACAAATAAATAATAATGAAAATAATATAAATAAAAATTTAATATGTTTAAGATTGATGTAAAATGTAACAGTTACGTACCTATTAAGAGTAAGTAAGATGTGTTTGTACAGCAGCAAGGCATCCATCCAACCTTCCAAACAGCCATTTCACGCAACCACACAAAAAGCTCCTGATTTAGACACGCACAGCCAAGCAAAGTGAATAAAATATTCAAATGTTTTCAACACTCCAGACTGCTTTTCTGCTTGGTCCACATACAAATCACGCTCATACATTATATGTGTGTGTGTGAGTGTGTGTGTATGTGTGTGTGTATGCGTGTATGCGTGCAATGCATAAATAATATTGCTTACGTGTGTCCAACTTTGCACTTCGCAGATCTGCTCGTTACTTCACAGCAACTACTTTCTAGATAACGTCTTCAAAAAGATACGCGCGCAATGGATGGTGTACCCAAAATAGATTTTTAATATACACACAAATATACACACAAATATGCACACAATTAGGCACACAAATATGCACACAAATATGCACATACACTTACAATTCACCACACATAAATAAAAGAATACATGCGAACAACATACCGTGAAAACTCGTTACTCTTGAAAAACTTTTGTATAATTTACATCTACTCATATGCAAACGGACAGAGAAGCAGATAGACAGACATCTATCCACACACGTATATATACATTTGCATGCGCGCACACACACACACCACACACACACACCACACACACGTCCACATCACACACACCACACACACCGCACACACACACACACACACACGAACTAACATTCGTTAACTTTTCTGAGAATCGTGTCGATGTCATCAGCTTGCGTGGATGTCATAAAGTTTAAATTCAGCAAGCTCAAGTTTATTTAAGTGGACGTCTAATTGCGTGTGCGTGTTCAAGTGTGCATGAAAGATGTGTGTGTTTGTGTATGTGTAAATTTACCTTCGTATGTGTGTATTTGTGTGTGTGTATGTGGGAATATACCTACGCATGTGTGTGCATGTGTGCATGAAAGATGTGTGTGTTTGTGTATGTGTAAATTTACCTAAGTATGTTTTCCAAACATTTTATTGACATCTGGGTGTGTCAATACAATGACATGCGTGTGTGTATGTGTGAATGTATTTACGCATGTGTGTGTGTGTGTATGTGTGAATGTACCTACGTATGTGTGTGTGTATTTTTATGTTGTTTTTAGATGATAGCAGCTTCATTATATTTAAATACTTTTATGTTAATTTTTACAAAAATTTTTCACAAAAATATATTACAAATATTTGATGTAATGTGAAAGTGATTATACTTGCGTCCAAATTCAATCGTTTAAAAGTGAACTCATGCGTAAAGTAACAAAAAAATAATATTTTTTGTGTACAATTGTCTGTGAAACACGTGTCCGTCCCTCGACCGTATTGGATGATTGATTACCATGTTGAATTCAATTGTTCGGTGAAAATATTTCGAGTTAGTGTTGTTTGTCGGTGCTGATGTTGCTAGCAAAGTTGGCCTAGCATATATGGGATGTGTGTATGTACTACTTACTACTGTACTGTATGTACTACTTATTACTAATCTTTCTATGCTATCTTTGATTGATTAGTATTGATCATTCTAAATTTTACACCATTTTGTTTTAAGCAATAAGTCGTACAACACTTTACAAATGTGCATACACACCATAAACACACATGCACACACACACACACACACATGCGAACACACACACGCAAACACACACACGCAAACACACACGAACACGCGAACACGCACACAAGAACACACGCACACACTTTAATTATTGCAAATCTTTTAGATGTCATTTTATTAAAATATTAGTTGAAATTAATTTCAAGTCCTTCTAAAAAAGTTACCAAATAACAACATTTACTAATTAATTATAAATTAGTAATGATTGAACACTAATTAATTATTACATATAATATTATGTAATAATTTGAAGTTGAAACTAATATTTTAAAAAAATTTGATTCCATTTATTTTCCATTTTTTGATGGTTGCAAGGCATTAACTGGAGATATGACGTTAGAGATGAAGAAAAAGTTGATGATGATGAAGAAAATGATGATGATGGTGAGGAAGATGATGATGATGAAGAAGATGATGATGAAGATGTTGAAAAAGAAGTTGATGATGATGAAGAATATGAAGATGATGAAGAATATGATGATGATGAAGATGTTGAAGATGAAGTTGATGATGATGAAGAATATGAAGATGATGAAGAATATGATGATGATGAAGATGTTGAAGATGATGATGATGAAGATGAAGATATTGAAGATGACGATGACGAAAAAGATGATGGTGAAGAAAATGATGTAGATGAAGAAGAAGACGATGATGATGACGATGATGAAGAAGAAGACGATGATGATGACGATGATGAAGAAGATGAAAAAGATGAGGATGAAAAAGATGAGGATGAAGAAGATGGAGATGATGATGAAAAAAAAGAAGAAGAGGAAAAAGAAAATAATGATGAGGATGAAGAAGATGGTGATGAAGATGGTGACAAAGATGATGATGATGATGGTGACGGTAGTGACGGTAGTGATGATTTGCAGCAGATGTAATTAGTGTAATGAAAAATTATGATGATTGTGACGATGATTATAGTGATAATGATAGTGATTTTGATTAGATGATGACAATAGTGGTGGAAGAAAATATTTTTAACAACAACAATAACAACAACGACAACAACAACAATAATAACGATGATGATGTGATGATGATGTAATGATGACGACGAAGACGATGATGACGACGATAACAAAAAAAATTGTAATTCAAGTAAAATTAATTTTCATCAATTTAATTAAGAGGGGAACAATTCAATTTGAGAAAAAAAATGTTTTTTATTTCCCATTTGGTAATATATAAAAATGTCTTCAAGTAAACCATTGTTTGCTTATTCATTGTTGTTGTTATTGTTGATGATGCTGATGACGACAACGATGATGATCACCACATTGTTAACTGGGCACGATTATCTTGTTGTTGATAATGATGTAATGGCGTTTTACATTAATTAGAGTAGCATATTATCACCACATCACCACCAACATCATCATCAGTGTTATTTTATTTCCATTTCTCATCATTTTTTCCATCCTAATCATCACCATCACCCTCATCACCACCATTATCATCATTATTTTAAAAATTACAACAAAAAACCTTTTTTTTGTTAATCTACCTATACTTTCACATTTTGTCTCTGCGAATTTACACATAAACGCATGCACACATACATATACACATATACACCCAAGCATACACACACAGCATACATACATACACACACACACATACATACACATATATACACACAAGCATACATACATACACACACACACACATACACGCATACGTAATACATGCACACACACACAAACACACACAACACAAACACACATACACATACAAAACAGGTATGTGGAATGACCCGACAAACGCTGATAGCCAGGATGGCCAGCCCTCTCTAGCCTACAATAATTGTTCAGCCATCAACTACTTCATCTTCACCGAGAGGGATGGTCTTGCATCTACGGACTCAATCCTACGTTCGTGAAACTTATTAACTTGCGCATGATGTGGTGTGACTGTGTTAAATATTCCTGCTGTACACTAACTATATTTGGTTTTTCTGTTTGTTTTGCAGGAATTTTCTGGCTATTTAGTTTGTTTTGCAATAAATCTTTTTTGGTATTTTGTTAATTTTGCAGTATTTTTTTGTTATTTTGTTGCCAGTGTAGAGTTCCTATGCTCTGTTGTTGGTCCAGTTTATAAGGCAATTTCTCCTCAATTTGAAAATTGTTTTTTTAAAAAAATGATTGAATTTTTTTATTAAGTTCTCTCTGTCAGGGCGAAATAATGTCGATTGGATTGCTTAAAAGTAAATTGCTGTTTTATAATGTCAGCAAGTAAAAAAATGATTAAAGTTAATTGTTAAGAAAATGCTGTGAAGTATATCAGAAAATAGGGGCTAAAAACATCGGAAGAGCAATAACAACAAAAACAACAACATTAGTAATCAAAACAAAATCAACCACAACACAACAAAAATAACAACAACCACAACAACAACAGCAACCTCAACAACAATCACAACAACAACCTTAACAACAACTTCAACAAGAATCACAACCTCAACCTCCACAACAACCACAACAACAACCTCAACAACAATCACAACAACAACCTTAACAACAACTTCAACAAGAATCACAACCTCAATCTCCACAACAACAACAACAACAAAAACAACAACGACAGCAACGACAATAGCTGCAACAACAAAACCACAGCAAAATTTTTTTTTTGTTCTACTCTCCAAAAACCAGCCTCTGACGAATGCAGTGACGTCAAAACGCCAATGCATCAAATTTCAATTAAAAAAATATTGAAGATTTTGAAATATCTCCGTTTAAGAGTAAAAATGCAGAATAAGAAAATAAAAAATGTATGAAAAATTATGAATAAAAAATAAAACTAAAAAAAATAATTTTTTTTCACGTTTTAAAACATCAATCAGAACAAAACAAATGAAACAATAGCAGACATTACGTCTCACATTACAAGCACATTATCATTAGAAACATCATTACGGCATCCTTCACATTAGTTGCATCTTTGTTACAACAACAACAAAACAACAACAACATCAATAGCAGCAGCAGCAACAACAACAACAAAATCATCAACAACAACATCAACATCAACAAAATCAACAACAACAACATCATCAACATTAAAACAACTGCATGACCTACTGCAAAAACATGAATACAACATCAACAACAATACAAACACTACACGTTTGCTGAAGCATTTAACAGGACAGAAGTAATCATGATGATGATGGCGACGACGATGATGATGAAGAAGAGGAAGAAGAAAAAGGAAAAAGAAAATGATGATAACAAAAAAGAAGAAGAAGATGACGAGGAGGAAGAAGATGATGATGATGCCAATGATAATGAAGATAACGATGATAGTAGCCGTATAGCTATCAGAAGTACAGCAGCTAAAGATCATGATGTTCGTTGCGTCTGCCCAGACACGATGGTGACGTTAATGTGACGTCATCTGACTTCTTTTTTTGTTTGCCAATGAGATTAAATTTCTGCAATGGTGGTTAAGTACGGACACTTAATAGTACAATGATACTTAATAGTACAATGATACTTGATAGTACAATGATACTTAATAGCACAATGATACTTAATAGTACAATGATATTTGGTTGTATTTTGCCGTCGGCATGTGTTTCGCAGAAGAATTAGTGAGAATGTGCATTCATCCACGCGATGTTAATTGTTTCTTGACTGCCTGCTGTTGTTCTTATTCACGCATTTGTTTTATATATTTGTTTTGGTTGTTGTTGTTATTTTTGTTTACTGTTGAAGATGTTGTTATTTACATATGTTGCATTGTTGTAGAAGGTGTTTGTTGTTGTTGTTGTTTTTATTATTATTATTATTATTTTTAGTTGCTGTTGTTGTTACTGTGGTTGTTGATGCTGTTCGTATTTGTCGCAGCGGGTGATTGTTGTTGCGATGAATATTTGTTAATTTCATTAAATTTTTGTCGATTTGCTATTTGCGTTTGCGGGTAGTTTTTGTAATTTAGTTGTCCGAAATTGTCGCCTCTGTTTTGTGTTCGATTTGTCCTTAGCTAAATATAACCAAATGCCTTTAATTTTTCTAATTATCTATTTGTATGTCATTTTATGTTAGTTAAAGAGTTCTTAAATATTGGATGAGTCTAAATGAAATGAAAATTTTCTATACGTTACGAAGATGGATTAGTTGTTAATGTGACTTGTTTCTTTTAAAATGCTTACATTTGCTGAGATTAGTTGACGTGATTGCACTGTTATTTGATGTGTTTTTTTGATGTATTTAGCCTAATTTAGATTAATTTAGTTATTAATATTTAGGTTTTAATTTTTTGACTGGTTAATGTTTGTTTAAGTTTTTTTTATTTTGTTATTGAAGGTGTTTATTGAAGATAGTTTTACCAAAATAATAATTTGATTAACCCTTTGTTTTTAATATGTTTAATAACTCTTATATTACATTCGCGTGATTACCTACTTTGTTGTAATTGTTAATTACATTTTTTTAAAATGTACTTGTCAAACTTTTATTAAAAAAGATAAAAAAGATGAAATATAGGCCATGATTTATTTGTAGAGATCACTTTATACATTTTAACATCTCAAATAGGTTACTACATTAAAACTATTCAGTGTCTTGGCGTTATTTAGAATCTTTGAATTATTCAATGTCTTTGCGTTATTTAGAACCTTTGAATTATTCAGTGTTTTCGGATTGTTTAGTTTCTAAAGTTTTTTAGAATCTTTAGTTCTTCCCATTTAAAAAATTACTCAGTATAAACTCGGTCAATTTCAGCATCGTTAAATTTTTTAGTATCTTTAATATTGTCGAGTATCTTTAACATTTTCAGTGTCTTTGAATCATTCAGTATCTTTTTATTATTGAGTATTTCTAATTTATTCATCGTCTTTAAATTATTCAGTATCTTTAATTTATTCTGTGTCTTTGAATCACTCAGTATCTTTTTATTATTCAGTATTTCTAATTTATTCAGCGTCTTTAAATTATTTAGTACCTTTAATTTATTCAATGTCTTTGAATTATTCAGTGTCTTCAATTTATTCAGCGTCATTGAATTATTCAGTGTCTTTGAGGAAAGCCATCTTGTTTCCTCTCGGCTGCTTCATCATGCTGATGGTTGGACATGCGCTCTGCCTCTACACGATCTTCACCTTCCACATCCGTTGTAGGGTCAAGTTCTTCGTATACATCGGCACGATGCACGCGGTATCTGGTTAGTTTCCTTTTTTTATGTGGTTTAGGGTGTTTTAGTGAGACGAAAAACTGTTGGCTGGCTGAAAAATGGGTTAAGTTGTGATTGTTTACTTATTTGTCTATCTATGGTGATATGAACTGTGCATATTTATTATCATACTGGCTCATTATTGTTGTATTATATTATATTACAGTTAAGTTTGGAGCCAGGGTTAGTTATTAAGCTGTTGTTTAATAAAAAAAATTGTCTATTTTTACTTGAGGTCACCTTGTGAAAATTTTATAAATATGTTCTTGAAATTCAAATATCAATTTAATTGTTTGTAGCGGTCTAGTTTAGTAAGCTGCTGCGAGTTTGTTATTTGGAAGTTTAACAAAAATCGGCGAAACCTTTTTTGTTCGACCAGTCTAACTAGTTGCAATCATTTTTATACAGTGGACAAAAAATTTTTTGTTGATGTGATGGTGTGAATTAAAGTGGTTACAGTTCTGGAAACAGATTTAAAACATGCTGTTGTGTGAGCCTCCAGGACGAATTCCTACTTCTCATTCGGATATCTATTATTAGCTTCTATCAATTATTTTCCAATGTCAAGCATGAAATATTTTTAAAAATAAAAATGAAACAAAAAAACAAACCAACGTGAGCAAAAGAAGACATAATATCAATAATCCAATTTGGAAGGAAGCATCTTTTACAAGGCAGTAAAAATATCGAGAAGAGAGTAGGAGGAATGCATGTGGGCGTGTACATCAACAAGGGCTTATGGACATACAACATGCAAACATGCATCCACATACATTCATATACATACACCACAAACATACATTCACATACATAGATTCACAAACACATATTCACAGCCATGCATTCGCAGCGTCATAGAGTTAGCTCAGTTAGTAGAAGTGCTACGTCTCGAGCTGCTATCACGGGATGGCATGGTTCGAATGCTGCCTGTTCAAAACTCGACCATCATATGTGTATGATTGGAAGCTTGGCGTGCCTACGTAATGTGTATGTGTGTCGTGTGATGTAGGTAGTACAGCCTTTGTGGCACGGTGGATTAATTAAGAGCATGTAAGCATGTAAGATGAACAATAAAAAACAGACATTTAAAAGTAAGACCCTCTGATATGCAGTTATTAAAGAATTCTGCAGAACTGCTTGCGTTGTTCATCTGGTACGATAACTTTTCGAGATAACGAACAATTCTTTAAAATATTCATTTAATTTAATTGTATTGAAAAGAAATTGATGTTCTTAATTCAGGTTGAAAATAAAAAATATTTACAAAGAAACGAATTAACATGTTGTCAACATATTTTTGAAAACGCATAAAAAACATTAAAATGAAAACACAGACATCACTACCAACGCTAACATGACCAAAAGCAACAGCGTTATTCAGACGACAACATCATTGCAAATGTAAACAAAATCTAACATAAAAAAATCTAAGAAAAACTTTCATTGTTTAATTCGGCTTGGATTTCTCTTTCGAAGTTTCACAAAATTTTCAAATCAAAAAGAATTTTAAGTTTTTGAGTTTTTTTGCTGTCGCTTCGGTGATGTTGTTTGGTTTCTTATTTTTCAATATTTTTTAACATCTCATTTCATGGTTTGATGGAAGTTTTTGACGGTCTGATCCTCTTTTATCTTATCTCATTTTTTTTTAACTAAAATATTTTTTGACGAAAAATGTCACGAAATGAAACATCTGAAAATTATAATGCTATTAAAATTTGCAGGGTTTCCTTCTGTTTGCTGCGAAATAATAGTTTGTATTGTATACACATGCATCTAAACTTTCACACATGCGCAAGCATATTTTGTGACATTTTTCAAACACATACATACAGGCACATATGCCTTGCACATACAAGGACACACACATACACACACACAAACACACACACACAACAACACTCAAGACATACATATCGAATACATGTGAATACGTGAATACATATAGAGAAATAATAACAAAAAGGCGCATATAACAATGTACTTGCATTTTAATACTGAAATGTTAGTCTGCAGGAAAAAATTCTCACACAAACATTTGTCAGATTCTGATTTTTTAAAGAATAATAATATAAAAAAGCATATACAATTTACAAACATACACACACACTACACGTGAGCGCACGGACACTCATACTTAACTTGTCATCAGGTACACTTATAATGACACACAAACACACGCAAACACACACATACACATTTACACACAACACAGACACACAAATCCACACACAAGGTCTGGTCCTTTTCATCGGCATCATCATCTATATAGCGGCCATCACGGACGAGGCAGCCAACAGATCGAAGACGGAACTGAACGAGGAGTTTCCCATCTTCGTCTTCCACTACGGACCTCCCCTCAAACTCCTCATCACCACCTTCTTTAGTGCCGAAATCGCTGGCGTCATGTCCGTCCAGTTTTACTTCACACTTCGCAGGAAAGCTTCACGAACCGGTAATGTATTTATTTGTTCTACGCAGATTTAAAAATTATCATTTGCTAAAATGTTAATTTTTAAGTTGCTGCTGCCTACTGGTTTGCATTTGTAAAGCTAACAAAAATTTTTTTATCAACTATTGAATTTGTAATCATCAATTTAGTTGAACAATTTTGAATCGAAAAGTTAAATTTACAGAAAATGAAAACAAGAATGAAGAGACGCCACGACAACAACAGCAGCAGCAACAAAAACAACAGCAGCAACAACCTCAACAGTCGCAACAGCAGATGTTTAGTTGTACAAAATTTCGTGAACGTTGTTCAAGTTGTTGTCGAACTTGTCATAAGAACAAACGTCTCCACGGCTCCGTTTTACGTGCGCAGGTCAGTGAAAAAGTTTCAAAGCGTCTGTGCAACCACGTTGAAGTTCTTCCCAACCTCATCCACAACATCAATAAAAATAACACCAACCATGTTTGTAGTAGAAGCATTGAAAACTTTTTTGGCGCAAACAGAATTCTTACCGTGCCGGCAAATATTGATAGAAAATTTGACACACGTGAACATCTAATTGATCAGGAACGAGTGGTGAGTGCAAGAGGAGAAAATCTAAAACTGGATCCATCTTCCAACGACCTTCATGTAGATGAAAACATCAACAAAGCCATCAACATCATCAACAACATTAGTAGCATTAACAACATTAGCCACAACATTCACAATAACGCTAACACGAAATTCAACAACAACATTAACAACAAATTCAGCAGATACAACATTAACAACAATGTTGACAACGCCGATAGCAACAACATTTGTGGCGCAGCTGAAAGCTATGATATTAACCATGGCGGCAACATCTACAAGAACTTACAAAAACAAGTCAACTCCAAATGCAACACACTCCCACATTTACTATCGCCATCATCGATAACGCAGAACCTTTCGTCAATATCAACTCATATGACGTCATCGTCACGTCACATTGCACCATCCTCATCATCAGATCATCTGGCACCATCGTCACATTTCATGTCGTCAACATTCTCAACACCATCATCATCATCTGTTCGATTTCTTGACGTGCCAGTGAGTAGAACGGAGTTGGTCACCGATGCAGAATCTCAATTTTCAACGTTTCAGAATGAGATTTCTGCTAATTACCAACAGACTCAACAGCAAACATACCAACCAACACATCAACCAACACACCAACCAACACACCAATCAACACACCAACCAATACACCAACCAACACACCAACCAACACATCAACAAACACACCAAAAAACGGCAACACAATCAGATGATGACAACCAGATTTTATTAAAATTACTACAAAATGTGATAAACTCACAGCCTCATAAGCAGGAGCAAAATACAAAATTTCAAGAACATCTATTTAGCCTCTTGCAACAATGTTGTCAAGATCAACAACAACAACAAACACAATTATTGCACGCCCAACAACATCAGCAACAATATTACAACGAAACATATGAAAAAGGGACAACAGTCAAACAAGACAATCAGGTAAAAAACTTAAAACATCTTTTACAGCCGCAACAACTGCAACTTCTCCAACGACAACTGCATCAACCACTACCGCAGCTCTTTAATTATCAACAACAACACCGGCCACAACATGAACAACATCTTTCATTTAAATCTAATAATCAACAGTTAAACGTGTCAAACAATGACATCACCAGCATTAAAAATGACGTCATCAACAACAGCAACAACAAAATCCACGTCAACAGCGTACAGCCCTTAATGGCTTTCAACAGCAATTTCATTGCAACCAACATCAATAACATTAACAGTATGACATCCACCAATCGAACTCTCAGCAAAAGTGACACTAACTCCAACAATTTAGATACGAATTTAAGTAAAAATAACGTCAACAGGATGAAAAGTATTGGGGATATTGGGCTTGAATCCAAGAAGACGTTTGTATGAATGAATGAATTCATTCATAATGGATTCATTCACGTATGAATAACTTCATTCATTTTTTGTGTTAATTAAAGTTGGAGTAGGTTGGAGATTTTGCCGAGTTCGGAATTTTTTGAGAGACCCGAGTCGGAGTCGGATATTTTTTATCTGACTCCACAGATTAATGTTTTCGTCTATGTGCATTTTGATGGTGACTGACTGCATCACTGTGTGTTACTGCTTTCTGTTGCACAACTTTGTAACTTTATAACTTGTTAAGTTCATGAATGTAGGTTAACACATTGATCAACATTAACGTAGATTTTCCACTAGTTTCGTTCATATGTAAAGAAATGAATTCAACGTATATTTTAATCTTACTTATTTATGATTTTATTTAAAAGTAAACTATATTTATAATCAAAATAGTTTTGTTTGTTGATATATTTGTACATGTGACAGTGTAAACGGTTAGTTAGCCGATTATTCATTTGGAAGGTTGTTTATTGAGACGAGCAAACAAATTCTTTATTCCAAGCGTTACGCATCACTTTTCGTCTGCTTAAATAACCGCTATTGAATACGCACACTTTTGGAAAAAAAATAATTGTCTCTACTTGTTTAGTAAAAGTCAATATAAGGTACAATTGAGCCGGTCATCCCTATATATACTGTTGTTAAAACTTAAACCCACTTACGTAACGATGTATCAGAGTAATTTTTTATTTCTGGTTGACTGCATGCACTCAATACAAATCACGTACAGCGTTTGTTGAAGTTTTGCTACTTAAACTTATCTCTTTTTTTAGAAATTTTTTGACATTTCTGTTTAGAAGATGAAATCAAATTGTAAAAGTTAATCATTTCGTTTGTATGCTAACAAAAAAATCAATCAAACACGAAATTGGGCAATCATCATCTTAATCATCCTCCATTTCAACAAAACAATGTTTGAAATCTTACAAGACAACAACGGACAAATGTGTCCAAGATCAACAAATGACCACTGGTCAGTAAATAGATGACTTTCATAACTTAACCATTAGCACAAATTTCTCAAAGTTTTCGAATGTTTCATAGTGTTGACAACGTTTCCATAGGATCTAGTCTTTTATTTAGTATAGTGTATTTTTATTAATAAAATATTATTATTCACATGAAATTTTAGTTACAAATTAAGATTGAGATAAAAATTTATCACTTTTTATATAACTGCAAAATCTTCACGGCAAATTGACCGGCCATGATTCATTAATTTTAAGCTTTACCATTAAAATTGCAGGTACTCCAAGAGGCAGCCTAAATCACTCACCTGTTTATCCAATTTTTTGGTTGATGTTTACAATGTAAATGTCTGTGTTAATAAAGTTTTTTTATGCCATAATTTTACAAAAATGTAATTTTTAAACTTTGTGTGTAACTTTTGTCACAATATATATTTTACAACTATATAATTACAACCAATGATTATTTTAACATTGCGTTGTTATTATTATATTCTTTTATAACGTAAAACCATTGAATCGTTCGACCATACCTCATCGATGACTGATTGTAATGTACATACATTTGATACCCTTAAGGTACAAACGTATTTCATAAACATGATGCAGTATATATAATAAATGATCATCAATCCACTTGTCCATCCACGCTATCGTCACCGTAGGGACCGACCTAGAGGGGAGTAGAGGGCTGAAACTTTTGTCCCTCTCTCAATAATAATTTATTTTGTGGGATTGAACCTGTATTTTGCCACCCTAAATTTATTTTAATTGCAATTTTTAAAAAATATTTAATAAATCTTCTGAACAAAATATAATTTTATTGTATTATCACCAAAAATAAGTAAAAAAATATGATAGGTTAGACCTCCACAATTTTTTAATTTTTGCAGAAAAATTTACATTGAATGAAATGTTGTTGTTGTTTTCCAGCTTTACGGTGCATCAGCTACGGGGCAATGGTGTGCCCTGCTTCGATTCAGAAAAGTCCTACTTATTAATTTTGTTTCTCTTTCTTTTCTTTGTTTTTGTTCTTGCCACTCGAAGCATAATTTCTGGCTTGAATTTGATTCTGACGTGACAGCCCAATTCTTTAAGAAAAATTATCATCTGATTATCCCGAGTTTTAAAATTTTCGCTTATCTCGCTATGTCCAGAATGCATGGTTCTTTTATCTTTAGTGTTTTCACATTTAAATACATGTGAGATAGTCAGGTTGTCCCTACAGTGTTCAAACATAGGAGGCTCTGTTTTTGTTGTTAAATAGTTGTGCGTCAAATTAGAGTGATCCAACAGAATGTTGTATAATTTGCTAAAAGTAAAGCGATTGCCACGAATTCTGTTTTCAATTTTTTCAATATCAGTATAAATTTGATGGAGATGGGTTTTAGTTCCATTTCATTTATTTCGCCACTCTGAGTAAAGAAATTTATTTATTTTAGGCTTCAGGTCGGTGTGAGACATTGGGATGTCCTTTATTGGATCGGTGTGCGCTTCTGATGCCAATTCACCGGCAATTTTGTTACCTGGTGTTCCGATGTGGTTTTCCGATAATTTTGTCTCAAATGCACTGATCGTGACCGCCAACTTACTTCATCATTTCGTGCCATCTTTTTTTCATTTCCATTTTTTTAAATTAAAAAAATGCACTATTTTTTATAAAGAAAAATGTTAAATGATGGTTAATTAACAATATTTTTATAATTAAAGTGAACTATTTTTGTGTCTAAATTTCAAAACTTTAATGATGTACTGTACATAGGTTCATCCATTTATCAGTCCCTCACTAGGGTGTAACTGCATTATTTTATAGACATTTTTCAATTGTTTGTTCATTTACTAATATACTCAAATTTCAGTATAAACAAAAACCAAACACACACACAAACAAACATACAAACACGCACGCACAAACACACACACACACACAAGTTTGTAACCTTAACATTGTGCCATATTCTTCGTCACATTTATATCCCATTAAATTAATCAATCTTATAATTATTAAAATTATGATAATTTTATTATTATTTATGATAAATATGTGCATATTTTATGTATTCAATGACATAAATTTATTAATTATATTAAATTTTGTCAAATTAAATCTTGAAATAATTGTTAAGAAACGATTTTTTCAAATGATTGTCGAATCATTTTTCATTCTAATTCTAGTAGTTATCCAATAAAATAAATAACTCGTTAAATAATCTTGAAATTTATAAAAAATAAATTTATTTACAACAATAATATTGAATTTATATAGAAAAACTATAATGAATAAACAAATAAATAAGTATAAAAACAAAATCAATAATGTATTTACATAAAAATGGAGCCAAAAACTTTTCATAAGAATTTGATAATTTTAAAGCAGAAAATAAACTCAATAATTTAACAATTATTTGCTTATGTACTTCAACTCAACACTTTTGCTTTTTTGTTTTTGAAAATATTTTTATACATTTTATTTGTGTTTTCAATTTTGTTGAAAAATAGAAAAATAAAGAATATAAAAACAAAAAAAAACTGTATAATGCAATAAAAATTAAAAAGAAAGCAGCGTAGCAGCAGACGAGTGTGTGTGTATGTGAGTGTGTGTTGTGTGTGTGCCTACATAATGCATAATTAAGGTGGACATGAAAATTTCTGAAAAGAATTGAAAAAAAAATCAAAATTTTACTAGAGTTGTGAAATGACGTATGTTGGTTTTGTTTGCCGTTGTTGTTGTTGATGGTTTTCTGTTTATTTTTATGTCATTGTTCATTGAGTTGTTGTTGATGTCATTATCTCTATTGTTTTTGTCGTTAATGTTTTTTCTGAAAAATTCATCATTGATGCTATTGATGCTATGGAAAATAAATTTATCATGTAAAAAAAATTGTGAAATCTGGCGTTGCCCATGCGCTCATATCTACTTTGGTTCAACCAAATGTATTTTTATTAACTTTTGCCAAAATAAAACAAATAAAATATAAATAATAATATAGATAAGAATAAAGTAAAAATTACAAAAGAATAAAAAAAATCAATGAAATATGAAATGCCAACAAAAGAATGATCATTTAGACTTAACCCCCACATCTAGATGAAAAATAAACTTCTCCCCATCGTTAATCACCCTGCCAAGGAAGTGGCTGCTGATGACTCAACATCAACCAAGCATCCACTCCACTCCAAGATGCCGTCAAACAAGCATCCACTCCACTCCACTCCAAGATGCCGGCAAACTCCGGTCAGGAGTCTTCACTGACAATCAAATCGGAAAACTTGCTTTTGACCCAAACCCTGAATAAAGTCCGGCGGTTGATCCTTCTCAGTTTTCAAAGTGGGTTTATTTTTACGAAACAAAGGAAAGACGGATACTGTCCCGATGTTGATCGTTTTCAAGCGGTAGACGATGCGGACCTTGAAATCTTTGGGGGTGGAGCCAGAATTTTGGAAATGTTTAATAATTGTGAAATTTGATGGAGGGGCAGGGGCGTCATTTCAGATTTTGGTTGGTGGGGGCGAACTTATGTGGTCTATGACTTAGCATGTAACATATATATATATATATATATATATATATATATATATATATATATATATATATATATATATATATATATATATATATATGTATGTATGTATATTCTATAAATTCTACCGAATGTTTGGCGTTAATATGTGTGTAGTTCGTTTTTTCGATTTTTCACACAAAAGTTTTTTGGCGAACGTTTATTTTATTAAAATTCAAAATAAACTTATTTTTCAAATTCGTGCTGCAAATAAGGACATATTTCGATTCCGAATGAATCATCATCAGTGCTCCTTGCTGTATATATAGGGAAATATTGACTTTTCAAGATGAACTTTGACGTTGTAAAAAATAACTTTGGTGTTGTAAAATTGAACTTTGATGCGAATTAGGTGTCAGGTTTCTTAATTGGCTGGTCATCTTCATCGGTCTCCTTTTCTTCATCGATAGCATCATATTCTTCTTTGTCACTATATGCTAGTTTTTATTACTTCTTTGTTTTCGTTGTTGGTTAAGCGCCGGGTTGAAAGTTGAGATTGTCATTTTTTGTTGTATATTTATATTTGGTTTATTGATGTCAATTAAGACTGCTTCTGCAATTTTAAGATGCGTGTAGTTGCTGTTCTGGTATATTACTTTGGTGTTGCTGTCGAGGATTTCACGGCTAATTGTGATTGAGTGTGTTGAGTCCAAATGAGATTTGATAGCACCACTCTGTTTATGCATCGTAAGCCTTCTAGTCAGTGAGGTAGTAGTAATCCCGATATATGAGTCATGTTGACGTGCACAGCCGTCAAAGGGGCAATTAAATTCATATATCACGTGATTACGTTTTAACTCAGAGTTATCTCTAGGACTGCAGTTGTTTTTCAGTATTAGGTGAGACGTCTTTTTATTGTTGTAATAAATTCGGAGTTTAACTTTACTATTTGGGTTGGTGTGACATTTTTATTGATGATATGTTTAAGAATAACTTCATCTACCTTGTATGTTGTTGACATGTGATTTCTGTAATACAAGATGATGTCGTTATCTTGATTGTTGGTACTAGGAAGGTTATTGCTGTGTAGTTATTTGCCTTTAACAATCTTTTCAATAGAGTAAGTCTTATATCCATTGTTTACAAGCAGGTTAGTGACTCTCTAATTCAGCGTCGCGATTTTCAATATCGGAAGAGTGTGTGAATGCCCGGTTCACAAATGATTTTATTGTGCTGTCTTTAAATTGTTCAGTGCATTCACTTTGTCCATTCAAACAAATTCCTGTATTCGTTTCTTTGACATAGACCGCGGTTTTGAATCGTTCTTCGCCACGGGTGACCAACACATCGAGGAAAGGTAAACGTTGTTCCTTTTCACTTTCAATGGTAAATCTAAGTTTTGATTCCTCCCTTGGTTTCCCCCAAGGTTCCCCCCTTGGCGTCCTATTTGCCAGTTTTTACCTAGGACAGCTGGAGAATGAAACATTCAAAAACAATGCAAATTTAAAACCAAATATCTACGCCAGATACGTGGATGATATCTTTGTCTCCTATAACGATCCTGAACAAATCACCCAACTTCTTGGTACCTTAAACAAATCAAAACTTAGATCGAATAATTCTCCGATCTACCAAACTTAATTTGATAATGCTATTAACAAAATTCCTATTTACAGAAGATGTCATTATCTACATGTATGCATGCATATAGTACTATTTCGACTACCTAGTCTCGTCAGTGCAACATTATAATAAATTTTACATTTTTAAAGTTTTTAAAATTTCAAAATTTTTAAAGTTTTAAAATTATTAAATTATATATCCTATATATATGCTTTTTACAAAGAATTTAAAATTAACACTTTTATAATTTATAAGTATAATTTTTTTCTTTGGTAATTCATTTCCAGCTGACATCTTTCTACAATATAATCTAAACTTTTTATAAAATTTATTACAATATCCAGAAAAAATAGTTATTGTTACTTGACTTACCAGCTTGATGATTTAAAATATTTTTTATATCATTGATAATTAATTTAATTTAATCATTTATTATTGATTAGTAGTTTAATCAAATTTATTAACGAAACTGAAACAATTTGTATTCCAGCTAAATCAAAATAACATTAATAACAGCGAACGCGACAGTTAATATGGCAACAACACAACGGTTTTTTTTAAACAGAACATGAATTATTGTAGGAACAAATGAAATAAATTGTATAGCGCTTGACATTTAAAAACTCAAAAAGCACAATATTTTGTATATATAATTATAATAAATTATATAATTTTATATAATTATTTTATAGTGTTTGCAATTTAGAATTTTGATTTCTTGGGGGGCAATTGGGGGGCAATTGCCCCCCTGCCTCCCCCCAAATGACGCCTCTGGGTGTAATCTCAAATTATTTTGAATTCTCTCGGAAAAATTTAAACTTTTTACTATATATTTATATTAGTTCTTTTATCAACAATTTTTATAAAATTTTCAATTTGATTTCACCGCGATGTCGATGATGATGATTGTGACCTGACTGATTAAAAGCATCAATGACAATTTTTAAAATAGGATGGAGAGTTTGTTATATTGGGATATTCGTATAAAAAGCGAGCAAAATTTTAATATAAAAGCGATTATAAATCTGCGCATATTGGCTCAGCTTGGCTTGGCTCGGTTTGGCTTGGCTCGGCTTGGAATCGGATGTTAAGCATGGTGTGGTCTGAAACTATTTTGAATTCTCCCAGAAAAATTTGAACTGCGTGCGTACATATATAGCACTGATTACTATTGCTTTTATAATGAATTTATATATATTATAAAGTAACTAGAATCCAAGTATACAAATATTTAATAAGATTATATTTATATAAAAAGCAATATAGCAGATTTAACCAGCCAATCAGAAAGTTTCAAGGGCGTCAATTTAGTACGGTTAGCATTGTGGTTAAAACTGTATAATAGTGTAGTACATACTTAAAATAAGTTTTTTACTGATGTGATTGATTGAAATGATGAGAATATATGGTTGAAACGAGTATAAATAGGAGCTGAGACAACATGAAAATCAGATCAGGCATTCTGCCTCGTTTGAAGCAGTCTGTCTGATCTCATTTATTTTAT